TCCTGAACTTTGACAGAAACAAAACTGCATTTTAAAACGAATAAGCAGATTCTTCAAAAATATTGTCATAAAATTCTGATAAATAATGATGATGAATAAAATTCTGAGCGAAAGATGAAGCATCTCTTCGGTCTTCTGTCACGATAAGTTAAAACAAAGCAGCTGATGTTCAAACAAGCCATTAAAAGGTAAAAAGAATAAGTAAAACTCATTAAAATTCAATCAAAAATTGTTGCGCCTGAGCTGAAGATTTTCTGTTTAAATTATAACAAGGGTTAAGYGGATTTATTTCACTTTAAAGGCCTTATTTGGTCTTTAAATGAGTGCAGATTTACTCATAATGCATCAGGTCTTAAAGTGTAAACCAGTGCAAACAAATGGATTTATACGGAAACCCCTGATTACCAGAWTTTATTGATTAAATAAGTATTGACTGACATATATTTGGAGTTTTAAAAAGAGTGTTAAGAACTCAAATGACCTCAAGTGATACAAAAAAAAGGTAATTGAAACCTAAATTCTAAGTATTACACAGATATGATGGTTAGGATGAGGATGTCTTAATTTACCCTAAATCTACAAATAATCCTTTAAAATCTCCCACATCAGTGGAAAAATAATTGGAAGTCCATAAAAGAATAGATAGTATTTTATTCTAGGGGAAAAACAAATAGAAATATGAGTAAATTAGTATAAAAACACCATCTGTTGTAAACAATCACATGAGTTTGTATTTTTAGAGATGATTTATAAAATGTGGAGCTTTATTTTAGGAACTGCCCCATTGGCTTTTATATTTACAGTTACATATTTACAGTTAAGGTCAGTTTAATTTATTTTATCAGAGGATTAAAATCCTCCACACTGTTGTCTTAATTAGGTTATCAGAATCTGAAGCCAGTTCACTTTTTCGTTGCATTTAAGGTCTTAGGATGAAAGAAAGAGAGGTTTATTTATCTTGTTGTTGCCCTCAATTGATTCAAAAGATTTTGCTCAGAAACAAGAAATCAAAATGATTTTTCATCTGTGTGTTTTTGTCTCTCTAACCACAGTAAGTTGTTAAATGTGTTCTTTATGGTTGTATACAGTAAAAGCTGAAGGACTCCACACTTTGTTGATGTTTTGCACTGTGTCTCTGTGGAAGGCAGACTTATTGATTGATTTATTGATCTGGATGCTTTGCTGACTCAGTGTATCTTTCTTTATCTGCTGCTGAGGTCTTCTCTCTCTTTCTGTCYAACTAAAACAGATAAACTTGTGTTGGTTTGTGTGGACCTTCTGAACAGTGAGAAACCCCGACTTGCTGAGGAGGAAACCGATATTTGAGGCATTTTGTCAGTTCAGAATGGAAAACACAATCCAGAATTTAAAAACAGGCAGCTGCACCTATTTTAAACAGCTTTATTGTCTAATATACTTCATTTTTCTTGGCTATTGAAGCCTCTATATGCATTTACAACCTCACAATTGACCAAAAAAGAGAAGTAAAAATATTTATAGGCTGCCCAGCAGGGACTACAGAGTCTATGTTATTACTGGTTCTAAATGATTTATTAGTGTGTAACAAATGTACAGCTGAAGTGAAAAAATAAGAGGTAGTTCAGACAATTTATAGAGCTGTTTATGGACATGGACACATTATCTGTAGACGAAGAGAGAAGAGAATTTTACACAAGTTATACAAAATGAACTTAGCACAAAAGTATTTGTGTTTGATTGATATTTATTTATTCTAACAATGCCTCTTGGCAATAAATCTTATACCACAGGAAAGCCTGTTAATTTCCCATTTAAATGGTGCCAAATTTGCAAGGAACATGCATTTGTGGGATGAGCAGTAGAGCTGAGTATGTGGGTTGTGCACATGAAAAATTTGCCAAATCTTCTCTGTCAAACAGCTTATTTTTCTGATCTTATTGACTCTTGTTTTGATCTTCTACCCCCAGCTGCTTCCAATTAGGTGCCGAATATAAGAATTATTGTCAAGAAGCATTGTTATAACAAAGAAATAATGTGGTGAACAAAAATTTGCTTACTTTTTGCACTACAGTCCACTCTAAAAGTATTGGAATAGCAAGTCAAATTATCTGATTTTTGTTGTACACTTTGGGTTTAAGAACCAAAGAAGAGCATGAGATAATGTCAGCTTTTATTTCCTGGTTTTTACATGTAGATGTGTTAAACAACTTAGGATAAATCACTGTTTGTAATACACTACAGCACAGGGGTGTCACTAGGTTTTAAGGACAAGGGGGGCTTAGCCCCCAGGAGAAGCACAGAAGTTTTGTGTATTTTGTGTATTATATATTTGTTTTGTGTGTTTATATATATATATATATATATACATACATATATACACATATATATACACACATATATATATATATACACACACACACACACATATATATWTATATATATATACATATATATATACATACATGCACATATATATACATATATACACACATATATATACATATATATATACATATACATACTGTATATGTATATATATATGTATATATATGTATGTATATATATATGTATATATATGTATGTATGTATGTATGTGTGTGGATTGGACAATGCTCACCAAAGAGGATCTCTACCTTACACTATAAATTAAGGGGAAACTGACAGGTTTATGATCATGTATTTATTTAATAATGAAATATGAAACGATCATTTATTCTGACCACATCATATTGAATTTTTGTAAAAAAAAATAGATTAAGTAAATTTTTTGTTTACACCAAATTAATTTAGGGGGGCTTTAAAATATTTTAGGGGGTGCTCCAGCCCCCCTAAAGTAGGCCTAGTGACGCCACTGCTACAGCATACATGAAAAAATACATGTTTAATTTAGTAGATAATGTGTTTTTAGTTTCAGTATTTTYACCTAAAACTGATTCAGATTAAATAAATTTAATGAAGAAAACTCATGACGTGAAAGAATCATCTACGTAAATAAAGTAACTTTATTTTCATTATATTTGTTTCTTTCTGCTTCGTGATGGCATCTCTACAAAAAGCTCTCCGACGTCAGGAGGCGGCAGCGCTGCGTGCGCGTTCGTGTGACAGCGCTCTGACGTCAGCGCCTTCTGATCGGCCGAAATCCCTGATAAGGCGGCGCGCGCTCCCGCTCGACTCTGAATGGGGGCTCGGTCCAGCCGGTGACAGCTCGTCCAGTCGTAGGGGGAACTCTGTAGACGCTCGTCCAGGTCCAGGTCCTGGTCCGCCCTGCTTCCAGCCCCGCCGGTCCTCCACGGGCACGAACTTCCGGTGGTTCTCAGTCACTCAGGTCGTATGGTCGCGAGCTGACAGTTCTGTTCCCGGTAAGTTGTTGCCGCTGACGGGCGGAGCTGTGTGTGTGTGTGTCCAGGAATGAGAGATGATGGCCGGCTCTGCAGCAGAGGAGAAAACCTTCCGACGGTTCCTGGAGCTTTTTGTCCGGGAGATGAGGATGCCTCTGCAGGACAGCGACCCGCCGCCGATGCGCCCCTTGTCGGACCTGGTGTCGGAGGACGAGGTGGAGGGAGAGTGTCTCGACCTGTGCGTCCAGCACCTCTACAAATAGTTAAGTGCGCGCGCTTTCCGTCCTGGCATGTGTTGCATTTTGAGAGCTTTTGAAGGTCGGTGAAGGTGTGGGGGTGTATGTGTGCGCGTGC